AAATGGTATATAATTGTTAAAAAGTATAAGGACAATTTCGAAAATTTTCTTACCTTAACCAACTCAAGCGCTGAGTAAGAAAGAATCTTTTCAGTTGTAACTGGTGTTTCATGTAAAAAGCGGAACAAATTATCTGATGAAACGTTAAATAGCACATGAATGTGCTTCAATTTTAAAGTCACCAAAAAATTCTTTTAGGCCCTTAGTGAGTGAGCAAAAAAATGAAAGGGAAAAAATGAATGAGTGAGAAAAATGTAGAAAAAGGGGTTTTTTCTTAACAGCGGTCGGCCCTCGACAGGCAACGGCAAACCTCCGAGTGTATTCCTGCCATGAAAAACAGCTTCTCATAAAAATACACTCGCCATTCGGAGTCGGCGTAAAACTGTAGGTCCCTCCCCTTTGTGTGACATCAAGGGGACCGCCACAAATTGGAGGAAAAGCACATATGTGTAAGCGCCAAACTATTATTATTATTTTATATGAATTTTACTTCTTTACTACTGAAACATGTATATGTTTAAATTTGTTGGGAATTTTGTGGGATAAATTTTCAAGATGTGGGTAATTGAGGGATTTTTTCCCCATTTCCGTGGGATATTTAACAGAGAATGTCTGGCATCACTGTACGAGCGTTGCATTGTATGGAAAGTGGTGCGATACTTTAAGGCGCCTAGTTGCGAAGTTAGAAGACTTGGTTGCCTGAAGCCACGGAATTTCAGAACTGAGTAAGAAAATTTTCTTGCAATATTATGCACACATAACTGCGTCAGGATCTAGATTTACACTGATATACATACGTATGTAAAAGAAAACATTAAATCGTTTTTTATAAGTGGGGATGTTTTTTAGAAGTAAATATTTAACTAAACGAGCAAAAACATTGGGCGAATAGAAACAAAAAAAATTTAAAACAGTTTCATAAAACATTTATTTAATTTAATGACGTGGTTTCCTTTATGAGGTATTCTTTTCTGTATATGTATATGTGCATATAAGATGCGAATGCAGCTAAAATTCTTTGAAGGTAATATTGAGGTAATCCTTAAAATTAGTATACGTACATACATTTCCATGGTGAAATTATAAGCAGGTGGAGTAATAAAAAAGCTGTCTCGCTTTATTTTCCTAACAGGCGGCCATTTTATACAAATTTTTAAAGGCAAATTTTCAAATAAGATAGGGTCAAATCTTTCATCTCACTCTTTTTACTACACCTGGTATAATTTCACCATGATGAGGTTCAATTGATGCTAATTTGTAGCAAACATAGCACGCGAATCTCATAGGGTTAATTTGTTTGTTTACAGTTTTTTGACATTATAACTAGCTACAAGAGAGTTCGAGCTAGTTGTCACTTCTACCTTGTTAAATATGCCTTGGTTTACCTTTAAATATTTGTGTAATGGGTTTCACCAGCAATTTGAATTGAAAATGATTTTTTATTTTCAGCCAATTTCCATATAAAATTACAAATATTAAAATCATTTTTCACTTGAACTGCTTTCGTGAAATTGGCTTTAAACGTTATTTTCTTAGCGTTAAAGCGCATTACCAGCGTTAACTTGGAAGGTTTAAAAAAAAAATAGTCGAATGTTTTCCCAACATTGACTCTAAGGATGTCTACAGCTGGATAACAAACACGTTTTCATGTGACCCGAAAAGTAAACCTACTGGGATGACAAATTAGGCTTTTGAAAATTTTGTGGACATCAATGACGACAGCACTTTGAATATTAAATACTACGAAGGGAGTCAAGATAGTTCTGGATGCAAGTGTATGCAAGTGTATGCAGAAAACACTGCTGTTGGCAAGATTGCATTAAAAATACTAGTGACTTTTACTTTCAAACTTCTATGTGAGACTGCATTTTCAACAAATGCTTACATAAACAAATAATTTTTAAGCAAAAAACAAAACCGACTTCAATTCCCATATACAAATTTAAGATTATCGGTTATCTATCCATGATTCAATGATCGGATTTAAACTAAATTAGAATGAGACCGCCTCTGAGGTAACACCTTTCCTCTATAAAACGAATTATAGTAATCGGTTAACGTGGTCCAAAGTTATGCGGTAACATACATACAAAAAATAAATATTAATAAAAAGATATTCCGACAAATTGATAACCTTCTCCTTTTTGTGAAGTCAGCGTCAAATGATTTCAGGGTAAAATTGTCAAAGCTTCCAAAAAGTTTAAAGGAAATAATGAAATCATCAAAACAATTTCAGTCCTCACAAGTAAGCTAAAGGAGTATAAAGTTTGCATTGTGTTTTCTTGTTTTGGTAGACATTTGAAGAGTAGGGAGGCCGCGAAATTTTTTTAGCACAACAAGGGTGCCGCGGTGAATAAAGTTTGGGAACCCCTGCTGTAGAGAACATAGAGAACCAATGTATGTATGCATGTATGCACATTAGGGTGGTCCTTAAATATATTAAGTACATTATAACATCAGATTTCCTAAACGTCACCCCCACATCGATGCTAATATAGTCAAAGATATCACACAAAAATTTTGGTCCCGATCGGAGACGGTTTAGGCGTGTCGCACAGGGGTCAAAGTTCAGATCCCTCTATGGAGACTCAAAAAATTAAAATTAATATTTTTTTCATCTAATACCCGAAATCGATACTACTAACGTCGAAGATGTCACATATAAATTTTGGTGCCGATTTGAGTAGGGTAAGATGAAAAAAAAAAAATTAATTTAAATTTTTTGAGTCTCCATAGGGGAATCTGAACTTTGACCCCTGTGCAACACGCCTTAACCGACTCCAATCGGGACCAAAATTTATACGTGATATCTGCGCCTACAGTAGTATCGATTTTGGGTATTAGATGAAAAAAAAAAATTAATTTAAATTTTTTGAGTCTCCATAGAGGAATCTGAACTTTTACCCCTGTGCGACACGCCTTAACCGTCTCCAATCGGGACTAAAATTTATATGTGATATCTTTGACCGTTGTATTAGCGACTGAGGGGGTGAGACTTAAAATTTAGTTTTAAGGGCCACAATAATGTACATATATTCCACAGACCTTCTTCTCTTCGCCCATCCGTCAACGCCAGGCACTCAACATGATAATTCAAATAGGAAGTAACAGTATTGAAATTCAAAACTAATTCGAGAATGAATTAAATAGAATTATAATCTGAAATGGCATGGCGAATGTCAAACCCTGACGAGATGACATGATTAAGATTGGGCGCGTTCATAAGTCGTAGCTGTTGGGTAACCGTTGGCTGTTTGTCTTAGAAACGGACAGTTGAGTAGTTACGCTCAGCCCAACAGTTGGCAACTTTCCGTCATTTTTTCCAGCGGAAAATTTTTACGCCGCTTATATTAAATTTAACGCCGCTTTGTTAGGTGGCAGTTGCAAACAAATTTTTTATATTTTGTATTACTGACGTGATAAAGTAACTAAAATATTTTTTAATAATACTACGTTTCTAAAAATATGTTTTTAAGATGTTTGCTATATAATTTTACACTGTTTAATTCATTGTAACATTGAACGATTTTTTCAACACGGCGGCCGCTCAGCGTCGAATTCTAAATAGTATCGGCGCAACGATCTGTATTTGTGGCAATTTCTGTTCATTTGGCAGCACATTCATCAAGCCGTTTCTAAGACGTAATTGTTGGGTTCAACAGTTGCCAGCAGTATCGTAGCAGATGAGCTAAACAGCTACATACGTCTTATGAACGCGACCATTAGTAGTTTCATGGCTCTTTGGAATCTACCTTATGGGCAGTAGCGCCGGCGTTTCAAGTTGAAGTTGACCACGCCGCCGCCGCAAAGCTTGTCGGCGTAAACCTCTAATACATATGTACATATGATTTGGTACACGATTGAGAGAATACAAAGGTTGCGCCGATCTCGGACCGCTATTCCTCTCTTAACGAATTTAACAGAATCGTTGTTTGCATGACGTCACACTGGTCCAACTTGTTTACGTTTTCCTTGCAATATTTTTTCTTCTTCCATTATTGCTCACGTTTTGGCATTTCTCTCTCGCAATTGCACCAGTGTGACGTCACACAAAAGTTATTCTTAAAAATCCTCTCTGATCGGCGCAATCTTGTGTTCTATCATTCTTGGATGTGGTAGAACCGTTCACAGATCATATGTATGTATGTATGTATGTCTTCCTTATATAATTAAGAAGAGCTAAGAAATCGTTTTTTTTTGTGTTTTCTGACACATGAACAATTTTGAATTAATGCACTTCTGAAGAAAGTTTGCGATATATACATACTAGTGCGATTTATAAAACGTCGCAAAGTGGCATTCTTGGCGAAATGGCAATGTTACGAACAAAGTTGTATGAACAACCTATTGCATCTACGGATTGCAAATGGAAATTTAAAAAAAATTACGTGCGTTAGAGAAAACGAAAAGTCTTTACAATTACATATATTTCGAAGCAACCTTGACTGATATACTTTTTCTTGAAGTATTTGAAGACAATAAAAAAACATGTGTTTCTCGACTTTGAATTTGCCAGCTCAAATACTATGGCAATGGGCACGTTCAGAAGGCGCAACAGCTCAGTAACTGTTGCGATTGCACCTTCTGAACGCGTTGCTTTGCACTTCTGATCAACTGAACAGTTGCGTGTTAGATGATCGTAATATTTTTATGATCATTTGAGACAACATGTTTTGTGTTTTGAATTTGACAGCTAATGTATCAAGCCGTTCAGAAGGCGCATTATGATCACTGATTTTTGTAGCAACGGTTGCGCTCAACTTCTGCGCCTTCTAAACCTCCCCAATGTCGCAATTTTGTCGCAAGAAAGTTTCCATAAAAAATTAATCAGCTGTGTCGCAAGGTGGCAAATTTTTCGACAAATGTGACATTTGCAACAACTTTGCGACGTTTCATGAATCCCACTACTATTTATGTATGCAGGTGCACATGTTTAAAAACAGTGATACGTTAATACGTAGTCTAACTTAATTATTTTTCTTTGATTTATTTACAGACTTCAAACTGTTCGACAACGGCCTCAAGTTGGATATATCCAGCTACTCCCATATGAATATTCGTATGAGCACAAAAGGCAAGCGCCCTTTGCGGAGCTTGACCCCGAGCGATAAAATTCATGCCATTCAACGAATACATGACGGGGAATCTAAAGCTTCCGTAGCTCGTGACATTGGAGTCCCTGAATCCACTTTACGTGGTTGGTGCAAAAATGAAGATAAGCTACGTTTTATGTCTCGCCAAACTGACAAGTTGACTGCCGATTCACTTACTGAAAAATTGGGAGCTTCGGGGGCAATGTTAGGAGGGCCACCTGAAAAACGTCAAAAGATGGACAGCGGCTCTGTACCATTCAATTATTCAACTAAAATAAAATACGATGAAGTTGTATACAAAAGATCTCCACTTAATGGCATCGAGTATTGTTCAACCAAAAGTTTGTCAGAACTAGGCTTCAATGGTCTCCCCTCCGACTATATGGCTTTTAGCGGTGCTGTTAAAAACAAAGTGTATGGTGCTGATATATCACGCCAAGGAGATCCAGCTATTGCTGCCATAAGCCCGCTTACTAGTCTATCTCATCTCTCAGGATTATCTGGCTTGGCACAATCCCCTCTTGCAATAAGTTTTAATGAACTTACATCGAATTTGAATTTGTTGGCGCAATTAAATCCTGGACTAGCAGCAATGTCCGGGCTAAACGGATTGGCAGCCACAGCGAGCACATTGCGTAATGTGAAAACAAAACTACAGCCACAACAAAGTCCTCGTAGTGAAAGCGGAGAACGACAACAGGGATTGTCTGTTAAAAATTGGGCTAAACAGAAATCCCCAACCCCTAATTCCTCAGAAAATGTCAATTATGGGCTGAACTTATGTTCAAATGATAACAACGAGAATAAAATGAAATCAATAGTGCCATCTGTTGGAAATAGTGTACCATCAATAACTAGTCTATCTGATGATCCTTTACTTTATTGGTTAAAATCTCAACAGGCAATGTTGGGTTTAGGTAATGTCTACCCACCACCGACAGTTCCACCAGTTGGAGCATCCAGCCCCCCAATGCGTTCTTCAACACCTCAGCAATCTGCAAAACTCCATATCAACGTGCCATTGAATGCTTCCGCGGCAGTGACTTCATCTTCAACACCCTCAGCTAGTTTAGACGACAAAAATACTGCATGGTATAACTGGTGTAAAGCTCTAGGAGCTAGCCTTAACTCTCTAGCACCAGCTACGCCCGCCGTAATTCATGGAGGATCCATGCTGAAGCAGTCACCACCATCATCTAATGTGAATATTTCGACTAACATCGAAACATCATCCGCATCAAATGATTCCACCCAAAAAACACATCTGGAAAATATTTTGTTCAATCAGCTAACCAAGAATATTGATAGTTCTCCCATTGAAAGCACAACCTCGGTTGATAATAATCATTCTAATGATATTAAACATGTAGACTCATTAACGAATCCCGAAGATCTATCCGCCAAAACGATAACAACTCCTTTTGGGCCAAGTTCTCCCATTCATTTACGACCAGTTGCAAATACATCGCCCCACCCAAATACAGAAGAAAGCCTAGTCCGAACTCCAGCACACAGCCCGTATGAGCAATCTAATGTTAATCATCCCAGCTCCCCTTTTTACAATGAAGGGGAGGAAGATGGGGTTACAAATATGGCGGATTGCAAAGACGTTCTGGATAACTTATTATACAAAATCAATAATAACCCTTCGGTGGCTTCGCTTAGTAAAGCGACAACCCCGACAAGTGAAGGCCCCGACAGAGATGGCTGCTACAGTGAGTCTAATGACACCTATATCAGTGACCATAATCAGAACAGCAGCGAGGACAATACCAACAATAATCACTCAAACAAGACAGATGAAGAAGAACGATTTAAAGTTTTGGAGTTCAAGGTGACCGAATACAAAGATTCTGAAGCCATAAAACATGGTGAAAAGTTCCTTAAATGGTTAGAAAACTGTAGCGATCCCCGCATTACAGCAACACATTTAATGCAGTTGAGAGTTCTTATATCAGCTTTAAAATCTAATTTCGATACCAAAGTAGAAAACTCTGTAGAGGACGTCAGAAAAGGATTTTCCGAATGCTGTAACGAATATGCCGTGAATGCTCTGGAAGACAACAATAGAATAAATAAAATACGTCGTCGCAAATAGGAACAACCCAAATCTGCTACAGTGGAGTCTAAAGAATGAACCCGTAGGCAAAAATTGTACACAATATAAAACAAATATTCATAAGAAAAAAGTAAAGAAATCTACATTTATAAGTAAATTAGTTAAAATAGTGGAAAACTGTCAATGATTCTTCGTTGAAGAGGTCAGTTTTCTTACATGTCAACGTGAATGAAATGTATCAAAATAATCAAGAAGCTTATAAAATGACTTGAAAACTTCACGACGATGAGAAAAAATCAATTTAAATAAATTTTATGTTGTAACGCCAATAGTAAATCAGCAAACTAACTTATTAACTTAAAACTATTAATTAATTCTTATTGATTTAGTCCTATTATATTTATTCCTATTATTATTCATACTTTGTACATAATACAAGAATGATAGAATACAAGATTGCGCCAATCGAGCTGAGAGAAACTGGCCGTGACGTCAAAATATACTAGAATGAGAGAGCAAGACGAACTCGACAAGAAAAAGAAGAAGCATCGAACAAAAGGCAGTATTGCCAAGTTTTGAATTTGAAAAAGCACCAAATTTTTATTGGTGTATTTTATGGACCTTATATGAATACATAATTTTATTGTAAGGATGCCGATTCAAATTAATAAAAAGCAATGTTTCTTGCACAACGGTCGATTTCTTCTGTACATATCGCGGGCTTATATTCACTACCCTTTATCTGCAATTTGCACAAGATTCAGCTTCTGATATAAAAATCCACCTAAGAAGTAAGTGTCATCGATACTGTTAATGCTAACCTTATAAGTAGCTTGTTGGTAGAATTTACTATTGAATTTCAAAGGTAAAGTAAACATCAGTTATGACCAGGGCCGAAAAGTTTAAGCTTTTGTTTGGAATTGCTTATTTTGCTTATTTGGGGTTTCCAATGTTAGTTTTAACGATCATGCTTATTTTACTTATTTCAATGTATAAAGCTAAGTACCGACCTTTTAGGTAAACAGTCAAGATTTAAATTGCTATTATTTCGTGTGTGTGTGTGAATAGTAGTGTTCAAGGCGTTTTGACATCTGATACTTTGCAGCTTGCTGTCTCTCTTTTTCCTTACGAAATAATGGAACAGATTTGGTTTTTATTAACCAGTAACTTCAATTGCATTTCTGCTTGTATAAAAAATTTAAAACCAATGGTTCGTCTGTACGGGAAGGCATTGGTTTTATTGAAGAGATTGAAAATAATTTACCTCAAATGGAGAATATCGAATGTTTAAAAAAATAAAACGACGAGGGCAGATCTTTATTATTTGAGAATATACACAACACTTGTGTGTCCATTGTAATTCCTTGAAATAAACACAAAACAATAAACTGTACTTAAATTTTGTTATTTTGCGAGCATATTTGCAAGAATATTTACCAATGTTTTCTAAGTGCTTAAAATGGATTTTTTCTTGCTTATTTTCTTCGGCCCTGGTTATGAAAGTAAAGTCCCATATTGGTTTCAACATCAGAAACTAGTTTTTATGAAAACTGCAGATAGAGGGTATTTAATAAGAGCCCTCGATATGTTCATACATGGCACATTAAAAGGGTAGGGACGCTTTTGACGTCTTCTCTGAATTTAGTTTTTTGCGCTCTTATTTTGATTGGAGTGCTACATAGCTACTAACTTATTTTAGTAGGTATTAAAAACAAATAAATATATTGGAATAAGAAATCTACTCCATTTTAAAACAATGTACATTAAAAAAACATATGTATGGTATGTACGTACATTTTTAAAGGCAAAAGAAAATGTTTTTGTAATGTATGTACGTTCGTACATACCCTTTTAGAACAGAAGTAAAAGACTTAACAGTTAATCGATCCTTGGAACAAAAATGTACCTTATGAATTTTCCTCTACCCTTTGCTTTTTTGTCAGGGAGGATTTAATACCACTCAGGATCGGCCACAAGGGGAGACTTTTGGTGGTTTAAACCCTCCCCTCCCTGTGGAGGGAAATATGCATAAAAGTTGTCCATCATTTAGTTTACAATAATAATGGTAAAAAATATTTTAAGATCTCAAATATTTAAGATCTCTTTTCAGAGATAGTAGTCGAGGTTTAATTTAAGCCAGGAAGGTTCTATCACCTTTTGTTTTTTGCTATAGCTTCCAAAATATTGCCAAAAACCGCGACTTCTTGATACTTTGATCTCGTTTTTTTCAAAATCTGGAGCTGATGCTTACTGATTCGTAATAAACATTAAAAAAATCTATCAAAAACAGATTTAACATTTGCCGTATAAATGTTTTTTTTTTTTTTGTTGGGATGTGTTATCCATTAAAAAATTAGCCAAAATTCAGATTTCCGTTTTATCTACAAAAATTTTTCTTTATGTTGTCTATAACACCCTTCCCACCCCGAGTTTTGCACTAAATCTGTCCTACAAAGCAAGACTCCCCCCAGAAAGGTTCATTTGGTCCAGGCAAGCATGGGCGTAGCCAGGTAGGGGCAAGGGGGCGGGCCCGGCCCCCCTAACTTCCAAATTTTTGCCTATATATTGAAATATATTACCACGAAATGCTTGCTTGATAATTTTGGCCCCCCTAACTTTAAAGGTTTTTCCTATATATGTACTGTATAACAAATTATACTCCCAACGCTAACAAAATAATTAGTGAATTCATTTAAAAGGTGGATATGTGGATCATCCGGTTCTGTATCAAGTTATTCTCTCTAACTTCAAAGCACTTCCATTTAAAAAGGGTAAAAACCTGGCTGCAGTCGACAATGAGCAAAAATGGATTGAACGGAAACTATAAATATATTTATAGTTCAATTGTTTATTACTTTATCTTTATGTTTGTGTCTTTTCTAAGCGTACAATCTGAGATTATGGATAAAAATATAGACCTGTCGGGTGAACAGCCAAGACGTTTACTTCTTAAGTGTGACAAAAGAAAATCAAGTAATATATTTAGCGTAAATGAATATACCAGCATAAAAAATCTACATACTCGAAATGTTCAATACGTCCTCATATTTATACATACCTGTGTGTATAACTTAAGATAAGATATTTCGCTGCAAAGAAATGATTATAAATTGTTAGTTTACCTTACAAAATTGCGGAAGAATATTACAGAGTATGCGGAAAAAAGTTTATTTTTTACATTTTTTATTTTGAATAACGTCTGGTCCGGCTATTTGGTTTACTATACAGGTATGTAGGGCTATGAATTTAAAAAATACATCAACTAAAGTTGAGATATCCGCTTTTGACCACTATGTTTTGTACATTTCCCAGTACTGCAAAGCTTTTGACTGCCATTCAACACGCGGGAGTGGCCCGCGTGCGCTGAGTTTGGGTCCCGCCACGTTAGAACCCTGCCCAATGAAAAAAAAACACATGCCTCGGATGATACCCCCTTCTTCTGATGACGATCACGGCAAACATAGGAAGGAATATGATTTTAGGGTATGCACTTGGAACGTCCGAACCCTTAATCTGCCCGGCTGGTTGATGTCCTAGGGAAAATAAAGGCTGACATCACCGCGATCCACGAAATGCGATGGACGGGGCGAGGAAGGTAAGCGTTCACCCTAGTGGACGAAAGTTTAACCACAATCCGCATCAAAGCGAGATTCTTCAACATCTCATTCATATGTGCATCCAAGGCTCTCTTAGGTTAGAGCGTACATATAATCTGAGGGTGATCGACTTCGCCGGGGCCCGAAACTTGGCAGTATGTATTATTAGGTTCTAGCATAAAAATATCCTTCAAGCTACATGGGTGTCTTCAGATCGAAAAACGGGAAACCAAATCGAGCATGTCGCGATAGACGGAAGGCATGCTTCCAGTGTTTTAGATGTAAATACGTACACTCCGAGGGCCAACCATCGACTCGCTTTACTATATTGATGCATCCAATATACGACCCAACCTCGGATCAGCAAAAAGGGCCCCCAACAATGTAAGGAAAGTTCAACGTCGAAAAGCTGCAATCAGTACAGACGGCCAATGGATTCGGCGCTCGACCCTCACACATGCTGTGTGAGGAGTGTGAGAAAATGCTTGAAATGCTGGCCGACAGAAAAAACACCCGAAATTTTTAGTAGAGAGTTGAGCGACTTACGGAAGGTTTCAAGACTCTTGTAGGAACAACCATGGCGACCTAGTGACCGATGTCCACAACGTACTCAGATTATGGAGGGAACACTTTTCGACCCTTTTGAATGGCAGAAGCACTGAAAGAAGTGGAGAAGACGAACCCAAGGTCCCAGTCGATGACGATGGAGTCGATATCTCAACGCCTGACTATGACGAAAAGTGCCAAAGCTGCTTGAGCTGGCGGCCTGTCAGCTGAGCTATTTAATTACGATGGCAAGGAGGTAATAAGGTGCATGCCCGACGACTGGAATTCAATTGCGCTCTGCCCAATCCACAAGAAAGGCGACCCCGCCATGCGTGCCAACTACCGCGGGATCAGCCTTTTAAGCATAGGTTGCAAGGTCTTATCGAATGTATTTTCTACCATAGACCAGGTATTCACAATACGCCAAATCTTGGAAAAGACCCGCGAGAAAATGATCGGCACTCACCACCTATTTGTCGACTTTAAAGCCGCTTTCGACAGCACTAAAAGGAGTTTCCTATATCCCCTCAAAACTCATACGGCTTTGAGAAATGACGTTGAGCAATACCACCAGCTCTGCTCTGTGGCCATTCGCCACCAGACGGGGTTTCAGATAGGGCGCCTCTCTTTCATGTGACTTCTTTAATCTGATGTTGGAAAAGATAATAAGAGCTGCAGAACTGAACCGCTCAGGAACAACTTACTACAAGAGCGTATAATTGCTGGCTATGCCGATGACACTGACATCATCGGTAAGAAAAACCGCGACGCGTAGCCTGGCTTTTCCAAGTTGGGCAAGGAAGCAAAGCGAATGGGTCTGGTGCTAAAAGAGGACAAGACGAAGTATCCCTGTCATCAAAAAAACAATCAGCACATTCGCGCCTTGGCACCCACGTCACTTTTGGCCGTTATAATTTCGAGAAAGTAAAGAATTTCGTTTACTTGGGAACCAGCATTAACACCGATAATAATGTCAGCATGGAAATCCAACGCCGAATCGCTCTTGCCAACAAGTACTGCTTTACTGAATAGCCAATTCAGGAGCAAAGTCCTCTGTCGACGTACGAAAACCACACTATAAGTCACTCATCATGCCCGTGCTGGTATATGGCGAATTAAAATACAGCTGCTCAACTGGCTTGACCATGTCGTTCGAATGGACACCGATGCCCCACCTCTGAAAGTATTTTGGCTTCACTTGGCATTTCCAATTGGCGTCAGTTGGCCAAAATCTCTTTGGCGGTTACAGCGCCAAATAAGAAGAAGAAGAAGAGAATAGATCTATAACCTTATCAGTCACACAGTGTTATAATCCTGACGAAATCCTTGACGGTGGTACCGGGAGGGGAA